TACTGATGAATACGTTTGTTTTCATGACCGTGTTTTCTTTCTGCTTGCATTTTGGATGCATTTATTTCTGTGATTTATGTAATTCTGGGCTCACCTGATGAAATAAAAGGTTAAATAAGTCTCACAATAAAATGATATTCAGCAAGTCTTGGTAGGACAATGGTGCTAAAAATTGTGCTTAAATATTATTACAGTGCATTCGGAAAGTATTCAGACCCCTTTACTTTTTCCAGATTTTGTTACGTTATAGCCTTATTCTAAAATTGATTAAATTGTTTTTTTCTCGTGGTATCCCGGGAGGTCTACCCCGGGGGTTGGTGTAGCTCAGTTGGTAGAGCATGGCGCTTGCAACGCCAGGGTTGTGGGTTCGATTCCCCCGTGGGGCCAGTATGAAAAAATATAAAAATAATGTATGCACTCTAACTGTAAGTCGCTGGATAAGAGCGTCTGCTAAATGACTAAAAATGTAAATGTAAAATGATACAGGGGAGGTACGTGCCGCGACCTCTGCTGGGAGTACCCGGGCTGGGCACCCCGACGGCAACAATTAGGGGGAGTGCCAACCAGCCATGCAGGCCACATAAATGGAGCACCGTGGTAGAGAAAAAGGGAGGCAGGGAGTGAGCCTACAGACGGGAACAAAGCTCCCAGGGGACAGAACCGAATGCGAGGAGGCGGCCCAGAAGAAGGACCGAGCCAACCCTACGTTTTTTTGTTGTTACGTTTATTTTATGTTGTCCAGTAAAGGCGTGTTCTGACTAGAACCTCCCTTGTCAATCTCTGTGCACTCAAACCCAACACCCCATGGTTTACCACACCCTCAATCTACACACAATACTCCATAATGACAAAGCAAAAACTAGTTTTTAGAAATGTTTGCACATTTATAAAAAAAATTAAAAACAGAAATATTACATTTACATAAGTATTCAGACCCTTTACTCAGTACTTTGTTGAAGCACCTTTGGCAGCGATTACAGCCTCGAGCATGACGCTACAAGCTTGGCACACCTGTATTTGGAGAGTTTCTCCCATTCTTCTCTGCAGATCCTCTCAAGCTCTGTCAGGTTGGATGGGGAGCGTCGCTGCACAGCTATTTTCAGGTCTCTCCAGAGATGATAGATCGGGTTCAAGTCCGAGCTCTGGCTGGGCCACTCAAGGACATTCAAAGACTTGTCCCGAAGCCTCTCCTGCGTTGTCTTGGCTGTGTGCTTAGGGTCGTTGTCCTGTTGGAAGGTGAACCTTCGCCCCAGTCTGAGGTCCTGAGCGCTCTGGGGCAGGTTTTCATCAAGGATCTCTCTGTACTTTGCTCTGTTCATCCTTCCCTCGATCCTGACTAGTCTCCCTGTCCCTGCCGCTAAAAAACATCCCCACAGCATGATGCTGCCACCACCATGCTTCACCGTAGGGGTGGTGCCAGGTTTCCTCCAGACGTGACACTTAGCATTCAGGCCAAAGAGTTCAATCTTGGTTTCATCAGACCAGAGAATCTTGTTTCTCATAGTCTGAGAGTCCTTTAGGTGCCTTTTGGCAAACTCCAAGCGGGCTGTCATGTGCCTTTTACTGAGGAATGGCTTCCGTCTTGCCACTCTACCATAAAGGCCTGATTGGTGGAGTGCTGCAGAGATGGTTGTCCTTCTGGAAGGTTCTCCCATCTCCACAGAGGAACTCTGGGTTCTAGGTCACCTCCCTGACCAAGGCCCTTCTCTCCCGATTGCTCAGTTTGGCCATGCAGCCAGATCTAGGAAGAGTCTTGGTGGTTCCAAACTTCTTCCATGTAAGAACGACGGAGGCAACTGTGTTCTTGGGGACCTTTAATGCTGCAGAAATGTTTTGGTACCCTTCCCCAGATCTGTGCCGCGACACAATCCTGTCTCGGAGCTCTACGGACAATTCATTCGACTTCATGGCTTGGTTTTTGCTCTGACATGCACTGTCAACTGTGGAACCTTATATAGACAGGTGTGTGCCTTTCCAAATCATGTCCAATCAATTGAATTTCCCACAGGTGGACTCCAATCAAGTTGTAGAAACATCTCAAGGATGATCAATGGAAACAGGATGCACCTGAGCGCATTTTCGAGTCTCATAGCAAAGGGTCTGAATACATACGTAAATAAGGTGTTTCTGTTTTTTAATTTTTAATAAATTAGCAAACATTTCTAAAAACCTTTATTGGGTATTGTGTGTAGACTGATGAGGAAAAACATTTTTTAAATACATTTTAGAATAAGGCTGTAGCGTAACAAAATGTGGAAAAGGGAAGGGATCTGAATACTTTCCGAATGCACTGTAAAATGGCAGCAGGTAGCTTAGTGGTTAAGAGCGTTGTGCCAGTAACCGAAAGGTCGCTGGTTCTAATCCCCAAGCCGACTAGGTGAAAAATCTGTCGATGTGCCCTTGAGCAAGGCACTTAACCCTAATTGCTCCTGTAAGTCGCTCTGGATAAGAGCGTCTGCTAAATGACTGAAATGTAAATGAAATGTAAAATAAACATTTCTACAAAAGCCTTCATCAGGGTATTTACAGATGTACAGGGTAGATCTCTCTCATTTAAGACAAGTAGACACTCCATGGCTGACTCACTGTATCCAGACCACCAGCTCCCGGCTCTCTCCCAACAGCAGAGCCCCAAAGTGGGTCTTGTCGCCAACCACCAGGCCCCCCTTGCCCTCCAGGAGACTATTGATCTCCGCCTCTGGGATGGACCTGGTATTGGCAGTATTCATACTGTAAGAGGAAAAAGACCAGAGAGTAATGGTGTAGGTTAGTGGCCCGAGTCCTAATTCATTATCAGCCTTTAATACCATGAGAATTCTTCCTGAGATTTCACCCAACAACATACATGGTGGGCTTCCTGATAATGCCATGAGACCATCATGGGTCATTTCATTGATAAGTCTCAATAGGGTTTGTTGTTGTTGTTGTTGTTGTTGTTATTTACCTGTGTTCGCTGGGAGCCATGCACAGAGCCCTCCAGCAGTAGAAGGACTGGCTGCTCTCCACCACCACCAGGCTGACCATGTCCCCAGGGGAGGGACGGTACCCGGCCGGGAGCAGCAGGTTGTCCAGGCTGAAGAACACACTGTCCTCCACCACCCCACTGCTGCCAAACACACTGGACACTCGCACCTGGGTAAGGGAGGTTGAGTGCAGAGAAGGGGGTGAGTCTAGAAGTTTGTATCATCACATTAACGTGGACTTGAGGTTGATAATTGGACTATAGATCAAAGTCCATGGGCAGGAAACATTTAGGTAGTGTATGTTGCCATGTCTTCTGTGAGACAAAGTTGGAAATGCCATTTGCAAGGAATTCATTAATGAATAAATGAACAGGGTTCTAGAGGAGGGACTGACCTGGTCCATGCGGCGGTAGCGTAAGGGGGACACAGAGCGGGCCTGGCTGCTCCACTGGGTGGGACTAATAAAGTACTGGGCCTGGACCCAGTCCCCTTTCATGGGTTCAAAACCTGATGGACAGGAGCAAGGAATTGAAAAAAGGAAGCACAGAATAGGAAATTAAAGGCTAAACGGGTATAGCATCTGGGACAGGTTGGCAGCATAGAAATAGAATAGTAGAACATAAATAGAAGTAAATCTATTTCTATCGTTGACAGTACCATCACAAAGAGCATGTCTTGGAAAAAAAGTGGTCTGATTGATGAAGCCACCATCCCTGTCACATGACGTCACGGTGCCAATCAGAGGACGGAGCTGGTTGCAGTCTGCCTCCAGGGAGGCTCCTCTCCCTCCATCCTCCCAGGCATCAGCGTTCTTCTCCACCTGAGGAACGGAATGGCCACAATTGTAACCACAGAACATAGTATGTATGTATGTATCGCTATGGTTGTAACATTCATGACAAACAAGGGGGATGTGTCCCATTCCTTCACAACCACTGATTTAAAAATAAAATAAAATAAAAAAAGACTTGACACCTAGTCATTTCTAGAGCCCAACCGATTAATCGGTTGACCAATATTATCGGCTGATATTAGCCTTTTACGGATGTATTTGTATCTGCATTTTATCCACCGAAAAGGACCGATATAAGATGCGGAGAAAACACACACAACCCCCCCCCCCTCATAGAATTTGACTTTTTTTTTTTTTTTTCATTATTCTTCCTGAAGAGTGCACTCTTTACATGGCTATAAGCCTATGGTGCCTTGGCACTACAGCAAGACTTGACACTATCACCCAACTACACCTGTCGGAGAGGAGAGAACTACTGTGAACTAACTGTTACTGCGTCTACAGTGAGTGCTGAGTAGATAGACGCTTGCCAGCTCAATAAAGTGCAAAAAATGTGCACTGGCCATATACTGTTACGTGAAGTGTCATGGTAGGGTGTTGGGACAAACAATGGATGCTATGCCCAAACGTAAAGCAAGCAGAATGTTCAACTCTGTGGTAACATTAACGTTACAGCCCTTTAGTGAAGCCCACGAAATCTGGTGTGTTATATTTGTTCTTTGCGAAGGGTATTCCTCAAGCTCTGTCATTCAAATGATTTCAGAGACACATAGCAGGTTACAAAGTTGTGCTTCATAGCTACGCTTTGATGCATGTGTTGTCACTTTTCAGGGACTGGTCCAAATTCACTTTTCGCCAATCCCGTTTCCATGACGAGTGCTAGCTAGCTAGACAGCTAACTAGCTGTGAGAGAGTATTTGACGAAGTTCACATTAATGTTCTTTCCTTAAATTTAAGAAATCAGCTTTGAGTATCTTTGTAGGGCTGTTTTAAGCACAATCCATACATTCGTTTTTATTTTATTATTCCAGCTATAATAAAAATATCAGCAGATATCGATTTTCTGTGAATATTTCCACTCTAAAATCAGTCAGGCTCTAGTCATTTCACCTGGAAATTGTAATGTAGGCCAGGATACGGAGTAAGGAACCAATTTAATGTAGTGAGACACTGCCAAGGTCTCATCTTCATACATAACAAAAACATACTGGTTAAAGTGCAGCCTTGGTCAAAGTGTCTCACCCTCAGTGCTTTCCACCCTCCTTGGGCACTGTCTCGTACTGCAAGGCCGTTGACTGCATCCCCGACCCTGAGTGGCACCCCTCCCAGCACCTCTCCAGTGGTGAAGTAGACTTCGTCGTCGATCATGCCGTAGTCCTGACACAGTAGGGTCACCACGCCGCAGCGCACGTTGCGGATCTCCTCCATCGCTGACACACAAAAGATTATGACTGGTCATTGATCATTGCATTGAAAAACGTAAATGTCAAGGGTTTTCACCAAATCATTTGGAGGTTTTTGACACAAAAGTACTTAAAATTCCCCTGAGAACAGGTGGGTCGTAGGCACTGGCAGTGTTGGATCTATCTCATTCTGGGATTTATAGCATTCATTTGCTGTTGACTGAAACAGGACAGGTGCATTGAGAAGCTGTCAGGCTGCTTGGTGAGCTCATTTGTAGACTTACCTGCCCCATCGAACCCATCCTCTTCATCCTCCTCTACCTTTCTCCATAGGGGGGCCAGCAACTTGGCTATCACACACTGCACTGCTGTTACCATATCTGCAAATAGCTAGATGCTGAAGGTGGTGCTACTGTAAATGAGGGCAGAGGGGAAAACAAAACAATGTGACTGGTGGTTTATCAAACTCATTTACATAAGTGTGTGGCCAGTCTTGCACTTGATTGCTTGATCGGGCATGCAAAGCACTTGCTAGCTAATCCAATTGCCATTGCATCTAATTTATTATCTAGCGAATGTTAGTTAGCTAATGTTGCCAGCTATGCGAACGGTAGCTAGTTGACTGACATGCGTCCAAAACTCTTCTTTGTTGCAGGTTTGTAGCTATTTAAACGTGATGAAAATACAACACGGTGCAGAACCTAAGTAATAAAATATAGCCTAATAGCTATATTCCTGAGAAATTATTGGACAAAGCCTACATACCTTTGTTGCAGCAAATTGCTCTTCGTAAATGTCTTCACTTGCTGCTTTCTCACCTTACGATAGACAGCGCGCGACTAAAAAGATGTAATTGCGTGCGCGCACATGGACACCTTTCTTCAAATAGTCTCCTAAACCCGACACTAGGCAAGAGCATTGATACATTGTAGGACGCAACAAGTCTGCCTAGGGCAGGCTTCCCTAACTGGCGTCCCGCGGTTGATTGGATTTGCCCCCCCCTCCAAAGTTTTCTGAGCAAAGAAGGGGCATGCGGTGAAAGACTATAACACCAGGATATCAGCTCCAAGTGATTTTAATTTTGGAAATCTGTTCCAAAGTATTCCCCGCATAATAGAGAGATATCCCACCTAGCAAAATGTCGTTGAAAAGACGACTGTGCCCGACGTTCAATCTACGTTCGGTTTTGGTTGAAAGTTGAAGTTGAAAATATGTACTTGAAAACAAGGTAATTTCAATGTATTTGCATACACATGGACACAGTATCAGAAATTGATCTATGAACAATTTGATTAACAATCATACATCACTCCAGTATTTACACACAGTATTTATTTACAACATTCATTTTTATTTATTCCATGCCTCACCATTAAGTGAATTATTGCCAATACATATTAACAAATTGGTTTCCATTCAGATTTGATATTTACATTTCATGTAACATTTACACTGAACTGAAAAAATATAAACACAACATGTAAAGTGTTGGTCCCTTGTTTCATGAGCTGAACTAAAAGATCCCAGAAATGTTCCATATGCACAAAAAGCTTATTTCTCTCATATTTTATGCACAAATGTATTTACAACCCTGTTAGTGAGCATTTGTCCTTTGCCAATATAATCCATTCAACTGACAGGTGTGCACATCAAGAAGCTGATTTAACAGCAGGATCATTACACAGCTGCACCTTGTGCTGGGGACAATACAAGGCCACTCTAAAATGTGCAGTTTTGTCACACAACACAATGCCACAGATGTCTCAAGTTTTGAGGGAGTGTGCAATTGACATGCTGACTGCAGGAATGCCCACCAGAGCTCTTGCCAGAGAATTGAGTGTTAATTTCTCCACCATAAGTCACCTCCAATGTCATTTTAGAGAATTTGGCAGTACATCCAACCGGCCTCACAACCGCAGATCATGTGTAACCACGCCAGCCCAGGATCTCCACATCCGGCTTCTTCACTTGCAGGATCGTCTGAGACCAGCCACCCGGACAGCTGATGAAACTGTTGGTTTGCACAGGAGAAGAGTCTCTGCACAAACTGTCAGAAACCGTCTCAGGGAAGCTCATCTGCGTGCTCATCGTTCCTGACCAGGATCTTGACCTGACTGCAGTTCGGCATTGTAACCAACTTCAGTGGGCAAATGCTCACCATCGATGGTCACTGGCACACTGGAGAAGTGTGCTTGTCACGGATGAATCCCGGTTTCAACTGTACCGGGCAGATGGCAGACAGCATGTAAGACGTTGTGTGGGCGAGCGGTTTGCTGATGTCAACGTTATGAACAGAGTGCCCCATCGTGGAGGTGGGGTTATGGTATGGGCAGGAATAAGCTACAGACAACGAACACAATTGCATTTTATCGATGGCAATTTGAATGCACAGAGATACCGTGACGAGATCCTGAGGCCCATTGTCATGCCATGCATCCACCGCCATCACCTCATGGTTCAGCATGATAATGTACGGCCACATGTCGCAAGGATCTGTACACAATTCCTGGAAGCTAAACATTTTACAGTTCTTCCATGGCCTGCATACTCACCAGATATGTCACCCATTGAGCATGTTTGGGATGCTCTGAATCAACGTGTCCGACAGCGTGTTCCAGTTCCCGCCAATATCCAGCAACTTCGCTGAGCCATTGAAGAGGAGTGGGACAACAGTCCCAACGCTACATTCAACAGCCTGATCAACTCTAAGCGAAGGAGATGTGTCGCGCTGCATGTGGCAAAAGGTGATCACACCAGATACTGACTGGTTTTCTGATTCACGCCCCTAACTTTAAAAAAAAAGTACATTCTACACAAATTACTTTTATAATAACGAAAACAAATGTGTGTGCCTGAGGGGAAATAAACTTTCATACAGCCAAAAGGGGTGAGAAATGACATGAATATCGGTGGACAATTTGCACTAATGGAAAATGAACATAGATTATGTAACATATTTCCTTTAGCTTGTGTGACAAATATTTACCATCAAAACCATGTGACCTCTCACCTCACTGGCTGTAGAAGTGTTCTTCCTAACCAGTCCCTCAACAGCTCTCTGACTGAGCTCCACCCTCACTGGGTCCTCAGAGGAGAGGAAGGCTGGGGAGAGATGGAGGGATGAATGGATCAATCATTCAACAAGTCAGTAAAATAAAGAGAGTGTTGATAAGCTTAAATGTCCATCTCCCACCCATGATAACCTACAGTAAAGATTTAGAGCCCCATGCAATTTCCCATTATAGCTGTAAATCTAGGTCCAACTCCCACAATCCAGAAAATCACATTGTAGATTTTAATGACAAAAATAAGTATTTGGTCACCTACAAACAAGCAAGATTTCTGGCTCTCACAGACCTGTAACTTCTTCTTTAAGAGGCTCCTCTGTCCTCCACTCGTTACCTGTATTAATGGCACCTGTTTGAACTTGTTATCAGTATAAAAGACACTTGTCCACAACCTCAAACAGTCACACTCCAAACTCCACTATGGCCAAGACCAAAGAGCTGTCAAAGGACACCAGAAACAAAATTGTAGACCTGCACCAGGCTGGGAAGACTGAATCTGCAATAGGTAAGCAGCTTGGTTTGAAGAAATCAACTGTGGGAGCAATTATTAAGAAATGGAAGACGTACAAGACCACTGATAATCTCCCTCGATCTGGGGCTCCACGCAAGATCTCACCCTGTGGGGTCAAAATGATCACAAGAACGGTGAGCAAAAATCCCAGGACCACACAGGGGGACCTAGTGAATGACCTGCAGAGAGCTGGAACCAAAGTAACGAAGCCTACCATCAGTAACACACTACGCCGCCAGGGACTCAAATCCTGCAGTGCAAGACGTGTCCCCCTGCTTAAGCCAGTACATGTCCAGGCCCGTCTGAAGTTTGCTAGAGTGCATTTGGATGATCCAGAAGACGATTGGGAGAATGTCATATGGTCAGATGAAACCAAAATATAACTTTTTGGTAAAAACTCAACTGGTCGTGTTTGGAGGACAAAGAATGCTGAGCTGCATCCAAAGAACACCATACCTACTGTGAAGCATAGGGGTGGAAACATCATGCTTTGGGGCTGTTTTTCTGCAAAGGGACCAGGACGACTGATCCATGTAAAGGAAAGAATGAATGGGGCCATGTATCGTGAGATTTTGAGTGAAAACCTCCTTCCATCAGCAAGGGCATTGAAGATGAAACGTGGCTGGGTCTTTCAGCATGACAATGATCCCAAACACACCGCCCGGGCAACGAAGGAGTGGCTTCGTAAGAAGCATTTCAAGGTCCTGGAGTGGCCTAGCCAGTCTCCAGATCTCAACCCCATAGAAAATCTTCGGAGGGAGTTGAAAGTCCGTGTTGCCCAGCGACAGCCCCAAAACATCACTGCTTTAGAGGAGATCTGCATGGAGGAATGGGCCAAAATACCAGCAACAGTGTGTGAAAACCTTGTGAAGACTTACAAAAACGTTTGACCTGTGTCATTGCCAACAAAGGGTATATTACAAAGTATTGAGAAACTTTTGTTATTGACCAAATACTTATTTTCCACCATAATTTGCTAATAAATTCATTAAAAATCCTACAATGTGATTTTCTGGAAATAAAATTCTCATTTTGTCTGTCATAGTTGACGTGTACCTATGATGAAAATTACAGGCCTCTCTCATCTTTTTAAGTGGGAGAATTTGCACAATTGGTGGCTGACTAAATACTTTTTTCCCACTGTATATACTGTATCTTACCCTCCAGACAGCCTGGGAGGAAGCGAGGCAGGGTGGCTTGGCTCATCTCCTGTTCAGTAGGGGGTGAGTAAATCATCACTGGTTCATACACACACAGAACAGGGACATACAGTAGAGCCTAGTTAATACAACACTACTATAGAGCGTCTAACCATGTGTTCTCGCATACCCCGAGAGCATCTGGTCAGCACGGCGGTGGCACAGGAATCCTCATCTCTCCAAAGTGGACATTCTCTCTGTTTCCCCTGACCCATCTGTCTATCTCCTCATTTGAATTCCATGCTGTCACAGTCACTAGCCCATTCAAGCTTAACATCCTTGTCATTTATCGCCCTCCAGGTTCCCTTGGAGAGTTCATCAATGAGCTTGACGCCTTGATAAGTTCCTTTCCTGAGGATGGCTCACCCATCACAGTTCTGGGTGACTTTAACCTCCCTACGTCTGCCTTTGACTCATTTCTCTCTGCCTCCTTCTTTCCACTCCTTTCCTCTTTTGACCTCACCCTCTCACCGTCCCCCCCTACTCACAAGGCAGGCAATACGCTTGACCTCATCTTTACTAGATGCTGTTCTACTAATCTCACTGCAACTCCCCTCCAAGTCTCCGACCACTACTTTGTATCCTTTTCTCTCTCGCTCT